AATCCCTAAACCCTGACCCCTAAGCCCTAAACCCCTAAACCCCTAAACCCTAAAGCCCTAAACCCTTAAACCCCAAACCATAAACCCTGATCCTGCCTTTTGGCCGCCGGCGCCGTGAACCATTTCGAAGCAGGAGAGCGGCTTCATGAAGTTGGCACACACATTGGCCATGTAGCTATTGCCTCACTTGCCCCCAAACTCGAAGGGCAACTAAAGCCGAAGCCCTACTTGGAGGCCCGGGGGACTTACTAAGTCGGTTATAAGTAGGGTTATAATTAGGGTAACTCCATTTAGGGTACTTATAACTCTACTTATAACCCACTTACTAAGTCCCCTGGGCCTCCAAGTTGGTTCAGGGTTTAGGGTTTAGGGTTACTAAACCCAAAATCAATGCCCCAAGAAGGACAGAGGTTGCTTACTCCCCCTGAAGTGCCGAGCACGAGGGTGGCTTGTATCCTTGGTTCCGGAGTAGCCCCTTTATAATAAGGGTACCCTTTTTCCTACTATTCGGTTTTAGTAAGGGGGGCCCTACAATAAAAAGGGCAAAAGGGTACCACTCAGGGACCAAGTATCATGACAGCTTCTCGGTGACGAAAACCACAGTAACTTGCGACAGAAGTCGAGATCCAGCCTAGGTTGTGCCATTAAAACCCTCTCAAATTTGCATACAAGGTCCTGTCGCCGTAAGTATACAACCTTAAACCCTAAACCTTAAAGCCTAGACCCCATTAAATTTTCCAAAGGCCTACCCGGCAGCAGGACAACAGCAGCAAGAGCGGCGGGGTCACTCCGATGATGGCCCAACGCAAAGAGTCGAAGTGCCGCATCCGGAAAAGACACTCGTAGCTCTGCAGATCGTACAAACCTAGGGCCCCTAAACCCTAAACCCTAAACCCTAAGCCCTAAACCCTAAACCCTAAACCCTAATCCCCTAAACCCTTCAGGCCTTTGAAAGCTAGCAACGAAGATCCTTGTAGGCCCAACAAGGGGGTAAAACAAGGTCCTAAAGGCTTACTATACGGGCCTTAATAATTGGAATCGGGTTCACCCCAAAAGGGACCCTGATTTAGGGAACTACCCATGTCCTAAAGGCTTAATAATTAGAATAGGGTTCACCCCAAAAGGGACCCTGATTTAGGGAACTACCCATGTCCTAAAGGCTTAATAATTAGAATAGGGTTCACCCCAAAAGGGACGATAATTTAGGGAACTACCCATGTCCTAGCCCTAAGGCTCAAGATAGCCCAAAAGCCTTATGTAGTATGGTCTTCGGGCCCAAAAACCTTAATATATGAGTCCTTAGAGCCTTAGGGTAATTTAGGGAACTACCCACGCCCTAAAGGCTTGTCTAGAGGCTTGTCGCCGACGTCATGGTCTCCGCGAGGCCGACGAAACGGCGCACGGATGCCTTCGCCAGGTGGTTTAGGGTCTAGGGTTTAGGGTTTAGGGGTTTAGGGTTTTAAGTTTAGGGGTTTAGGGTTTAGGGTTTAGGGGTTTAGGGTTTAGGGTTTAGGGGTTTAGGGTTTAGGGTTTATCATGCCTTCGCCATGTGGTACTCCTCGAGACTCGAGACTGCTTGGATGACGCAGTTGCTGGCCGTCCCAAAGGAAACCATGATCCTTGGTTGGGTTTAGGGTTTAGGGTTTAGGGTTTAGGGAACGAATAAAGCCATAAACAAGCCCTAAACCCTAAACCCTAAACACTATGGCTGTAACTATTTATAGCCCTAAGTCCCGTGATCGCTCCATGTAGTTGCTGAGTGGCCTGGCCCACCAAAAAGTTAACCTCTCCATTGATATGCCCTACCATAAGGCCCCTAAGCAGTTCCTTTTGTGGTTCATATTATAAGGTAATCCCAAAAAGGAACTACTTAGGGGCCTATGGGTAAGCCCGAAGCCCCTAAACCGCTAAACCCTACACTCCCAAACCCCTAAACCCTAAACCCCGCAATGCCTAAACCCTAAAAACCTTAAGCCAAAAGATCTAATAAAAGGGTGAAGGCTACCTATTCAGCTACCCTAGGGCTCCATGTACATATATGGCTACGCCTTGAAGGGGTTCCTCTTTTTCGCAACTTTCAGGCCTAAGTATACACTTCAGCCTTAAACCCCAAACCTCTAGAACCCTTCTAATACCTTCAAAGGTGCCCCAAAGAGAGAGCCCTTATGGGCAGGAGCCTTAGGGCTAAACCCTAAACCCTAAACCCTGCCACTAAGGCTCTTGAAGATCACGCTCGTCCGCCGTCGAGGCTTTTGAGCAGATATCATTCCTAGGCATCGGTTTTCGAAAAGCCCCCCCAAAAAGCATGATTAGGGTTAGGGTTTAGGGCTTAGGGTTTAGGTTGAGGGGTTTAGAGTTTACTTTAGAGTTATCGATTTCAGCAGCCCCAATATTGTCATTACGGATACCTCTAGCCCCAAACGCCTACTTCTTTCTTGATAAGGAGCCCGAAAAATGAATGTTCTTTGGGCTACAGGTTGGGCTCTATGTCAATGTTGAACTAGCGAAGGCAGGGTTTAGGGTTCAGGGTTTAGGGAAATTCACAACTGCCCCAAATTGGTACCTAGATTCCGACAGCGAACAGCCCGAGATGCTTCAGGACCAGGAGCAGCCACTGAAACTCCATGGACGGGCAGCGTTGACAAACAAAGGGGTCATTGACTGTCTTGCCGTAGCCGTGATCACAACTCCTGGGCTCTTGTCACGGAACTTAACCAACAGATATCCATAGTAAATATACTTATGTGCACATATATATATACACATACATCTCTATATATATATGTTATATGTATATATGTATATAGATGGGTTCCTTGTTGTTATTATTATGGTAACTTAAGAAGTTACCCAACCCTAAACCCTGAGGGCCCTAAACCCTAAACCCTGAACCCCGGGGTTTAGGGGTTTAGGGCTTTAGGGTTTAGGGCTTTAGGGTTTAGGGTTTAGGGTTTAAGCCTATGAACCTCAAACCCTAAACCCGAAAGCCTAAGCCCAGCTTCGTACAGCCAGGGTAATCTTCGGAATACCCAGGCGCGCACCTCGAGCTCTAGGGTTTAGGGCTTAAGGAAAATAGGTTTAGGGTTGAGGGTTTAGGGTCCAGGGATTAGGGTTTAGGGTTTAGGGCTTGAGGTTTATAGGTTTAGGGTTCCTAAACCCTAAAGGGTTTAGGGCTTGAGGTTTATAGGTCTAGGGTTTCTAAACCCTAAAGGGTTTAGGGCTTGAGGTTTATAGGTTTAGGGTTTCTAAACCCTAAAGGGTTTAGGGCTTGAGGTTTATAGGTTTAGGGTTTCTGAACCCCAAAGGGTTTAGGGCTTAAGGTTTATAGATTTAATTTTTCTAAACCCTAAAGCCCTAAAGGGGTTTAGGGCGTACGGCTTGTAGGCTTAGGGTTTCTAAACCCTAAAAGGGTTTAGGGCTTAAGGTTTATAGGTTTAGGGCTTCTAAACCCTAAACCTTAAACCCTAAACCGTTGAGGCGTTTGGTTTAGGGTTTATGGGAACTACAGGTGAAGCTGCGGGCTTCTACTGAGAGGACCATGGGACTTAGTAACTGTCGGGCTCTAAACTCTAAACCAAAAGGGTCCATAAATATACTACTATTATGGAATTCGGTCTCCAAAACCATAATAAGGATGGTCTTTTGGGACCTAATTCCATGATAGTAGTGTATATGGACCCTCTGGGAAATAAGGTAACTATAGTCACAGCTACTTACAGCCCCTGTGAAGGTACATATAACCTTACTTACCAAGTCCCCTGACCCTCCAAGTATAAGGTAAACCCTAAACCCTAAACCCTAAACCCTTAAGGCTGAGAGACTAGAGCCCCAACACGGTATGTAAAGGTGACTTACCTCCCCCCCATGTTTCGGGCTTAGGGCTTGGGGTTTCGGGTTTAGGGCTTAGGGTTTAGGGTTTAGGGTTTAGGGCTTAGGGTTTAGGGCTTAGGGTTTAGGGCTTAGGGTTAGGGTTTAGGGCTTAGGATGCTGTTTGGGCACTGTTTGTCCAGCCCGTCCGCCATTGTCAGAACATGCTGACGACCAGGACACGCGGATGGGTTTGGACAACGCCAAGCAGCCATCGCTACTCGATCGTCATGATCCTCACTTCCCCCAATAAACCACGGAAACAAAAGCTTAATCTTTCAGATTACTACTACATTCTAATAACGCAAAAGTTTAAAAGTTGAGTATTGGAGAACTCAGGATCTCGTAAACTGTGCAACGTGATCATGACGCCACGAGGTACCTGCATCCTGCCCCTCCCGCACGAAATCGTCGTGTCGACGGACGTCGCAAGAAGCGTGCAGTCGTTGCAGGAGTGCTTGGCCCAATGTTCGTAAGTTGTGCCCCAAGCAATCTGGTGGTACTCCAACCTGGACCCCAAAACGGTTTAGGGTTTAGGGTTTAAGGGTTTAGGGTTTAAGGGTTTAGGGTTTAGGGTGCATTTCCCCTAGGGCTCCAACTACCTACATAATAGGTAGCGGTGGCACATGAATATTTAGGTAGCTGCTTTCAAGGACGTAAACTCAAGAAACCACCTATGCAATAAGGAGCCGTACACAACAAATCCTCATTTCGGGCCGGGCACGGCATATGGACATTCAATGGCGACATAGTTCCGTATTCACATGGGGCGCAGGTAGCACGAAGGACTCCTCGGTGGGCCCTTTTAGGTTTAGGGTTTTAGGGGTTACGAAAATCTGGGGTTAGGGGGTCAGGGTTGAAATAGGATTCCCGTGAAAAAGACACATGGGTAGTTCCCTAAATTAGGGACGCTGTTGGAGTCCCCAATATAGTACGGCACCCTTGTAAGATGGACCACCCAAAAGGGACTCTACTTTAGAGAACTACCCAAATATCGGCGGAAGGGTTTTTTTTAAAAGGTTTGGCCAAACG